TCGACGACGTGCTGACTGGCGCGAACTGGAAGAAGAGCCAGGTCGACGAGGCTCTCTACTTCAAGGTCGGCGACGACGGAGTGGCGTGCTGGGTGCTCGTCTACGTCGACGACCTACTCGCTGCAAGCAGCAGAACTGCGATGCTGAAGGAGCTGCTGGAGGCCGCCTTCGAGCTGCGCGAAATCAGCCCGGTCGAGAAGTATCTCGGGCTGGAAATCGTGCGCGACCGACCGGCGAGGAAGCTGTGGCTTCACCAGCAAGTCTACGTCGACAAGCTGCGTCGGCGTTTCATCGACGAGGAGCAGACCGGGCGAGTGCCGAAGACGCCGGTCTCCGTCGACGCTTACGCAGAGCTGACATTCGACGACGAGGACGCGCAGTCGCGCGAAGAGGAGGAGTATCGGCAGAAGGTCGGCTTGCTGCAATTCGCGGCGACGACGACGGGGGCGGACATTGCCTTCGCGTGCAGCAAGCTGGGGAGCGGCCAGACAGTGCGGAGCGACAACCACTGGCGCGAGGTCGACCGCTGTCTGCACTACCTGGCCGACACCCGTGACGCCGCTTTGGAGTTCGGCGGTGGACCAGAGTCGCTGTGTCTGGTCGGCTATGCGGACGCCGACGACGCTGGCGACAAGCAGAATCGGACGAGCACGGGCGGCTACGTGTTCGTCTTCGGAGGGGCCGCAGTCTCCTGGTCGAGCCAGCGCATCAAATGCGCGACGCTCTCGTCGACACAGTCGGAGTACGTCGCGGCCACGGAAGTCGGCAAGGAGGCTCGTCGTCTTCGCTTCCTCCTTGCAGAGTTCCAGCTGCTCGACGCCGGGAAGCCGACCATGCTGCACGTGGACAACCAGTCGACCATCACGGTCGTAGAGGGCTTGGGGCTCAAGGGCAACCTCAAGCACATGGAGCGACGCTACGCCTGGCTGCAGCATATGGTGAAGCGCGGGAAGATTGCTCAGCAGTACATCCCGACCACCGAGCAACCGGCCGATTTTCTGACGAAGGCGCTGCATTTTCCGGCATTCAACCGGTGCTCCGTCGCAATCGGCCAAGTGCGTCTGGCCGACATCGGCGACGGTGATGACGAGGTGCAGCAGTAGGTGCCGTGCCCTTCTACACGGCTGGTGCGGTGACATGCGTGCTATGTGTTAGGTGCACACAGATGGAATTTCTCCTTGTATTCTATCCCTTGGGTTCTTGGTAGACCTAGTGGGTGGGGCGCCCAAGCGTGAGCGCGGCAGGGGAGTGTTGACGGGAATTGGCCCCGCCCTCGCTTGGGCGAAGCAGACTTCGCAGTTGGGGGGCGCGCAGAAGTCGTCGTAGACTGCGCGCGGAATTCGACCTCGACCTGTCCGCATAGTTCGACCTCGACCAGTCCGCAGAGGACGCTGGTCGACGCCCTCGCAGAGGACACGGTTGACGATCTCGCAGAGGACGCGGTCGACGATCGCCCTCGCAGAGGACACGGTCGACGATCTCGCAGAGGACGCGGTCGACGATCTCGCAGAGGACGCGGTCGACGATCTCGCAGAGGACGCGGTCGACGGGCTCGCAGAGGACGCGGTCGACGGGCTCGCAGAGGACGCGGTCGACGGGCTCGCAGAGGACGCGGTCGACGGGCTCGTAGAGGATGCTGGTCGACAAGTCCGTCGAGGAGTGTGGTATAGGAGCTCCTCGACGAGGCCGGTATAGGAGCTCCTCGACGAGGCCAGTAGAGGGTCAAGTGCAGTGTGTCAGTGTGGCTGTGTGTGCATATTGTGTTTTGGTCGAGATTAGCTACACTTTTATGGGAGGGCAACAAGAACAAATGCCAAGGAGCCGAGGGGGGGGGGGGGGGCTCTTCTTCAGGCTTCAGGGAGGAATATAAATTATTATCTGTTTGGTGGAGGGTGGTGGTCACTTTTACGTTTGCAACCGTACTTTGTTCAAAGCTCAAGGGTCAAAGCAATCTAGCTCTAATAAAAAACGATATGAACGACGAGCGTTAGCTGGTAAAATATGGTAGGGTTCGCGAGCATGTTGAGGTAAAATATGCAGGTTGCAATACATAATAGTATAACGTGATGCACGATTGTCTTACGTATTACAGGTTCCTCGTGGTACACACCCATCGCAGCATCATACTGGAAAGCTACAGATTGGGTATAAAATCAATCTCAACCCGTCGTGTCGGCCTTACCACACTGCGGGGGCTAACTGCATGCCATAGGCGGAATAGTATTCTGCAATGAATTTGAATTCTGGAAATGTTTTCTACCATTTATGCTAAAGGTACAGCTCCGCACTGTAAATGTATGCCCTTATCGCAGCTGTTCTCTTATGGGGTCAGAATTGAACAGCTCTCAGACAGCAGGCTTGGATCATCAGTGCCTTCTGGCCGACACCACTTGTCCACACTGTCGCGGAGCGGAGTCGCAGCGGAGAGTGTGGTGGAAGGTACAAAACGGTTCAAATGAAACTAGCTCTGGTACTTTGCATCTGCGGAAGGTACAAAACGGTTCAAAACGAAGGTGCCTCACGTGTGCGGAAGTACGACAGGTGCCTCACGTGTGCGGAGGACATCTGCGATTCGCATGTATGGCCTCACTCACACTCACCTCACCACCACCAGCCACAACACTGTGCACTATTCACAGTCGCATCTGGAGTCAGATTCCAAACGAGATTCATCATCAGTCGACCCGCTCACTCTCTCGACCGTACATCTCCTAGCCAACCAGAGCAAAGTACGATAACTTATCACAGATAAGGAGCCGCAACTCTACGATATAAAGGGACTCGCAAAGCCTTCATTCATTCAACATTCGTTGACGCTTTCAGCAATTCCAGTTGACTGCTTCACACTCCCGTTTTCTCAAACCAGCAATTCCAGTCGAGTGGCGACGATGGCATTTCCGTACTGCCACTTCGTTCTCCTTGCGCTGGTTGGCCTCGTTCACACAGCAACGGCAACAAACATGCCCGCTGGTGGTTGCCACACCCGTTACGTTTGCCCCTACATTGACAACCTCGCTACTGCATCAAACACTCAGTCCACGTTCACCACTTACAAATACATTGGCGAATACCTAGGGCAGTTCAACACCCAGGGCGGGAAATACACGGCCCACCAGCGCGGATCGGGTTCGGTGAATTTTGAACGGTACACGGAGGTGGGGACTGTTTTCGACGTGGTGAAGGGCGTGTATGGTGATACGCTTCAGGAGTGCTGCCGTGCCTGTGCTCGATCAACCTACTGCTACCAGTGGCACTGGTTCAAGAAGTAAGCAGCGTCTGCCAAAGCGTAATCTTCACTATGTCTCTGTTAGGAACCAGCACAGTATCGTTTCTCGGGCTAGAAACTTTTCTGTTATGGACCAGCACAATAGCGTTTTTTGTCTGACCCGTGCTGGCAATATCGCTGACGAATTCCGTTTGTTCTGCTGTTTTTCGTTCTGTTTTTTTTCCTCACTCCAGCACTCGTCTGGCCGGCAAAAACGCGAACGTGGCGGGATTCATCGATCGCGTGCAGTGCTACCTGCTGGAGAAGAATGGCGGCACGGGCACGTCGGGCTCCTTCAAGACCCCGAACGCGGGGAGCACGTCGGTGCAGACGGCGAACGCGGCAAAATTCCCGCTGAGCTTCGTCGGCGGGCTATGCAACGGTACTGCGCTCGTCGAAAACGACCCGCATCTCACGGGCGCGCACGGCACGTATTACGACTTCACTGGGCGACTCGACAAGTCCTTCTGCCTATTTTCAGACCGTCGATTCCACGTGAACATGCTGCTTAACGGGTACCAGGGCGCGCCGCCTGCGCTTCCCGCGTCGGCGTCGACTAAGGACAAGGAGGAGAGCACGGAGCTGCACACGTGGATTAAGGAGCTCGGAGTCGTGTGGATGACGCCCGACGGCGCGAATCATACGCTGCGTGTTAGAGGGCCCTACGACAGCAAGGGCCCTCGATGACCTTTGACTTGGCAGGTCGGCGCCTAACGACTGAGTCTACTCGGCACCGACACACGAGTTCGGTGGCGGTCATTAGTGACTACGGGTGACTGTGAGCTACTGCAGCGAACTCGGCGGAATCGGTGCAAGGAATGACGAGTCTTGGGGGTCGTAGGTGCCTTGCTTGTGAGGCACGCTGCTCACTTGCTGTGTTGGCAGGAGTAGCGTGCACGGTGAGACATTCCGGTGCCGAGTTGGGTTGGAAATGTGCGGGGCGCGTTCACCCACCTGCACAGCACTTTCGTGTGGAGTGAAGACCTAGACACTCCATGATGTGGATGGTGCCATGGCCTATCCATGGCTGGTGCGGTGCGTGTTTACACTTTGAGCGTGTTTCGTTTGTGTGTATCCCTTTGTTTTGGTGTGTATGTGTGTATGCATGCCCTGTGATTATAAAGGGCCTTGCTGTAGTATGGCAGGGGAGTGTTAGAGGGCCCTACGACAGCAAGGGCCCTCGATGACCTTTGACTTGGCAGGTCGGCGCCTAACGACTGAGTCTACTCGGCACCGACGCACGAGTTCGGTGGCGGTCATTAGTGACTACGGGTGACTGTGAGCTACTGCAGCGAACTCGGCGGAATCGGTGCTAGGAATGACGAGTCTTGGGGGTCGTAGGTGCCTTGCTTGTGAGGCACGCTGCTCACTTGCTGTGTTGGCAGGAGTAGCGTGCACGGTGAGACATTCCGGTGCCGAGTTGGGTTGGAAATGTGCGGGGCGCGTTCACCCACCTGCACAGCACTTTTGTGTGGGTTGGGTTACTCGCAGCGCCACGCAACAATTGTGCAACTCTTGCTTGCCTATATATGTTTGTGTTTGCTTGTGTGTTTGATTATTGATATTGCAATTCTACTTGGCCCAAATGCTACTTCAATTCTCACAAAGTCCTTAGAGGCAAACGCTACCAAAACTCTACCAAGTTGCTGGCGCAACATCATTCCCATAGCAGAGACTCTCTCGCTATCGCTACGCTCTCTAATATATTCCTTCACTGCGCATGGTGGCGCGCAAGGGCAAGCAGCAGAAGCGCGGTGAGAACGGCTTCGTGTCGCTTATGGAAATCGACGGCCAGCCGACGACCCCGCCGCCCGTGGGCGAGTCAATTGCGACGGAGAGCGGGCTGGTGGTTACCAAAATCGCGGAGGCGAAGGAGGGACCGTTCGACGTGGATCAGTTTCAGGTGCGCGTCACGGGGCTGGGGGAGCTCGACGTGCGCGTGCGCGTAGCGCACCCGCTGCTGCAGACTCCGGAGGAAGCGGAGACGCACTTCAACGTGGAGCTGTCCGACGTGAAGATGACGTCAGCCGTGCACGGCGTGCTCGGGCAGACGTTCAGGAACACGCCGGAGCAGCTGAAACGCGCGGTGAAATACTCGATGCTAGCGACGCTTCTACACCACCCCGTGGATGTGGACAAGGCGGAGGGGAAGGGGTTTCTGGACGGGGAAGTTGAAGACTATATCACGTCGTCTATCGTCGCGCCGGACTGCAAGTACGCGAGCTACGCCAGCGCTGCCTACGGCTAAGAGGACCGCTTCCTACTAGTAGTACTAAGTGTGGCGAGATAAATTGTGAGAGATGATGGGGAAGACTAGCGGGGAGCGTGAAATTGTTTTTCACTTGGTGCTGGTTGTTAGGTGTTGCCGTGCGGGGCTTCGAGAGGTTGGGGTAGGTTTGGCTGGGTTGGGCTGGTTGATTGTGCGTCCCCGACCTAGTCCGCACACCTAGCGGATAGCCTTTCCGTAAGGCAAATAAAGGTGGACAGGTGGACTGTAGATGACAATTTCCATGTATCTCAGAATTTCTGCATAATCCAAAATGTTATTAAAAAGCATAAAAAATCTTACAGGGGGGAAAGAGGGGGGGGGGAGTGGGGCAAGAGTCGTCGTCTCTGGTATTTTTCTTCATAAGTTATGTCAGTCTCTTCTTGCAAACACCCCTTTGCAAAACCCCCCATTGCTGAGACACTCCCCCACAACTAGGTAGTTGATCACGGAGGCTTGCCGTATAGGCAAGGAGGTGATTGAATGCTGCACCACATGGCACATGGCAACCACATGGCACCACTACTATAGCCCTTCTCCACCGCACCACACCGCACTGCAACACCAGGTACCTGGTCGCGGTGGCTCAGCGAATGGGCAAGGAGGAGATTGGCTTGGCCGCCGCAACCTCACCGTGCTGTTCAAGGCGGGGTAGGAGGTGAGAAGGTGGGGTGATGATGAGAGATAGTGATGAGGTGATGTGAAGTGAAGTGAAGTGTATCATTTCAGTGAGGTGAGGAGATAATGTGATCGACCAATGCAATCTCAGGGTGTTGTTCGATTCGAGCCAGGGCAGGAGGTGAGAAGAGGAGGGGGCGGATGGGGTAACATGGGGTTTGGGACCTGAGGGTCTGAGACTGCAAGAGAGGAGAGTGTGAGGAGAGTTGGGGGGAGGGCAAGAGATGATTGGCCGTTGCAATCTCGCCGATTGTTCGAACCAGGGCAGGAGGTGAGGAGAGTGTGAGGAGAGGTGGGGAGTGATTAGGGGAGATGGGAGGGGTCGATGTGGGGTGTGCTGGTGCAGTGAGGTGAGGCTATAGTGCGGCTGACCACTACAGTTTCGCTGAGCTGTTCGAGCCAGGGAAGGAGGTGAGGAGAGGTGAGGAGAGGTGAGGAGAGGTGAGGTGAGGAGCGGGCGTGCATGTGTGGGTATTAGAGGGAAGGAGGAGTGTTTGACCTCAGCATCAAGGCGCTGATGCGCCTTGAGGAAGGAGGAGCATCAAGGCGCTGCACCGTATTCCCACCCACATCCTTCTCAATACATTCACAACCCCTCACACCCATGTCCCTTCTCCCCATGCCACCATGCGTGTCCGTGTTGGTGTGCATGAGAGGGGAGGAGGGGTGTTCGACCTCAGCATCAAGGCGCTGCACCATATTCCCACATCCTTCTCAATACATTTACACACCCTCACACCCTTGTCCCTTTCCCCCATGCCCCCATGCGTCCCTGTGTGGGTTTCAGAGGGGAGGAGGTGTGTATATTCCCTCATCCTACTCAACACACATATTACCCCCCCTTTCCACCACACCCATGCCCCTTTCCCCCACACCCATGTCCCTTTCCCCCACACCCATGTCCCTTTCCCCCACACCCATGTCCCTTTCCCCCACACCCATGTCCCTTTCCCCCACACCCATGTCCCTTTCCCCCACACCCATGTCCCTTTCCCCCACACCCATGTCCCTTTCCCCCACACCCATGCCCCTTTCCCCCACACCCATGCCCCTTTCCCCCACACCCATGTCCCTTTCCCCAAAACCCCATGTCCCTATGTGTGTCTGTCTCTGCGCATGAGAGGGATGGAAAGTGTTCGATCTTAGCAGCAAGCATCAAGGCGCTTCACCCATGCATATTCCCACCTTCCTCCCGCACCCGAATCCCCCCCGCTTTCTCATATCTCCATTCCCCAATGCGTGTCTGTGCACATCACAGCGAAGGGGGGAGGGGGGGTGTTCAATCTCAGCATCAAGGCGCCCAGCCCCCCATCCGTATTTCCCCATCAAGGCGCCCAGCCCCCCATCCGTATTTCCTCATCAAGGCGCTCAGCCGCTGTAGGGTATTTCCTCTGTCCACACATCCGTATTTCTCCTGCCCAACCCCGTCCAACCCAACATACCCCCCTCTCAACGCGTGTGTGTGGTGGCATCAGAGGGGAAGGGGGTGATTTGATTTGATCTCACCAGCAAGGCGCTTCAGCAGCTCAACAGCCTGGGGCAGGTGCGGTGGAATGCAGTGCAGTGCGCTGCAGTGTGGTTCTGTGTTGTGCACTGGGTTGCCGTAGGGTGCAGTGGGGTGCATCTGTGCGGATCCACTTCAGCCATCGAACTATAGGTTATGTGCGTGTGGTGGCTGTTAGGCTCTATTTACTCGCATCGATCCACTTCAGCCACTAAACAGCCTGTGTAGGTGCAGTGGAATGAGATGCAGTGCAGTAAAATGCGACAGAATGCGGTCTTCTGAGATGGAGTGTGATGGGTAGCTTTGCCAATGTGTGTGTGTGCTACAGCTCAGGGGTGAGTGCGGTGGAATGAGATGGGATGCAATGCGGTTGGGTGCAACCGTGTGCAAATCGGATGTACAGTTCATGGTGTGTGCAAAGGCTGTCAAGTTCTATATTCATTTCATCTGCATTCTCTCTCGATTCTCTCTGAATTCTCTCTGAATTCTCTCTGAATTCTCTCTGAATTCTCTCTGCATTCTCTCTGAATTCTCTCTGAATTCTCTCTGAATTCTCTCTGCATTCTCTCTGAATTCTCTCTGAATTCTCTCTGAATTCTCTCTGCATTCTCTCTGAATTCTCTCTGAATTCTCTCTGAATTCTCTCTGCATTCTCTCTGAATTCTCTCTTTATTCTCTCTGAATTCTCTCTTTATTCTCCCTGGATTCTCTCTTTATTCTCCCTGGATTCTATCATGTTGTGTGTATGCTGTTTCCTCCTTCCCTTGACCCTTCGTCCTTCCCCTAACATCCTCTCTTCCCGGACCTGTCTTCCAGGTATGGCCAGGAAGGCTCGGGTCTGGTGCTTGACCTGGTGTACAATCCGGTTGGCCTGTTCCTCCCCCCTGCTCCACCGAAGCTGGAATAGACTTACAAGCTGAGAAAATAAGGCAAGGGTATTTCACGTATGCAGCAATAGGTGAGTGGGGTGTATATCACAGGTCACTGGTCACGTGCCTGCTGCTAGGCTGTAGTGGGTGAATGGGTGAATGGGGTATATAACCTAGCCGGCCCGTTCCTGCCGCCTGCTCAAGCCAAGCTGGAGTAAGCTTACAAAATTGAATGGGAGATTTGATCAAGTTGTTCAAGTTTCCAACAATAGGTGAGTGAGTGGGGTATAGCCGTGCTGGGAGTGCATATAACCCAGTTGGGTTATTTTTGCTGCCTGCCGCCTGGGCCAAGTCTGCAGCAACAATAGGTGAGTGAGTGGGGTATAGCCGTGCTGGGAGTACCTGCTGCTAGGCTGTAGTGGGTGAATGGGTGAATGGGGTATATACCCTAGCTGGCCCATTCTTTTGAGACGTCTCAAAAGTCAGGTCACTGGTCACGTACCTGCTGCTAGGCTGTAGTGGGTGAGAATGGGGTATATACCCTAGCCGGCCCGTTCCTACCCCCTGCTCAATCCAAGCAGGAGGAAGCATATAAGGTGAGGTGGGAAATTCAATTAAGTGCGGACAGCTATGGGTGAGTGGGCTATATAGCACACGTCACTGGTCACATACCTACTGCTAGGTCATAACGGTTGGCCCGTTCTTGTCCCCTGCTCAAGGCAAGCTGGAGGAGGCATACAAGGTGAGATGGGATGCGGTGGGATGGGATGGGGAGGGATGGGGTGGGATGGGATGGGATGGGATGGGATGGGATGGGATGGAGTGGGGTGTGGTGGGATGGGGTGGAGTGAGGTGGGGCTGGATGGGAATGATATGATTGTTCAACCAACAACCCATTATACCCCTCTATACCCATACATACCCCTCAATTCTCCATACCCCTCCATGCCAACCCTTATCCCTACATACCCCTGCATATCCCTTCATACCCATCCCCCTCCTCATCATCCATACCTCTCAGAGCGAGCTGATGACATGTCACGGCATATCATTCAGCCAGCAGTCTCCCCCTTCAAAATTCCTTCCAAATCCCTCTATATCCCTCCATACCACTCCAAATCCCTTCATACCCCTTCATACCCCTCGGTACCCCTTCATAACTCCCCATACCCCTCCATACACTTCTCAGAGCGAGCTGATGTCATGCTATGGCATATCATTCACCAGCCTGTTCACCATCACCAACATACCTGACAAGAGAGGGCTTTCCGGGTTGGGTTTGCACAGCTGTTGCATATTCAAGCACTTTTTGTATGCGTGTCTCTGTCCATGTGTGTGTGTTGTGTTGGTACATTTTTTAGGCGCCTTTTAAATCAGCTGCTGCGTTCATTTCAAGCACTTTTGGTATATGTGTCCCTGTCCATGCGCGTGTGTCGTGTCGTGTTTTTAGTCGACTCAGAACACGACTATTTGTGTCTCTGTCCATGGTGTGTGCCGTGTCGGTACATCCTGTTACAGATTCGGATCGTTTCTGCATAGGGAGGGCCAACTCGAAGACTACATGCTGCTGGTAAGCCTTGTATAGGAGCGGCTTATATGAAGTACAATTGTGTTCGCGTCATTTCTACATAGGCAGGTCCGGCTCGAGGAATACACGTTTGGTTCTATACTGGTGGCATGCATGCCGGCGAGATGCCATGCATTCATATATGCATACAGACATAGATTTAAACACACACACACACACACACACACACACACACACACACACACACACACACACACACACACACACACACACACACACACACACACACACACACACACACACACACACACACACACACACACACACACACACACACACACACACACACACACACACACACACACACACACACAAGCGCGTGCGCGCGTGCTCTTCAGTCATCTTTTGAGGCACCTCAATAAGCGCCACATGAGCGCAGCACTAACATACATACATGTAGGGATGTAAATTCTTAAAAGTAGGTCGATTTTGAGACTTCTCAAAATCAACCCGCAGCGCTAACATGCATACATGCCTTTGCCAAGCAGATTCTTTAAAGTAGTTTAATTTTGAAACACGCCTGGCTGGTCTCAGGTGTCTAACACAAGCCTTTTGACGGTTCCGATCGATCCACGTCCGCGCTTCTTTTGAATTGTCCAGCATACAAATGACTGCACCCCGCCCCATCCCACCATATGCCACCCCAACCCGTCCTCTTTTCCCCTACCCACCCCTTCCTCCTCCCATTCCCTCTCATTCCCTTTCATTGCTGCCTCTCTCCCCTCACACACGCAGATTTCTGCCTTCAACCCAGCAGCAGTGGGCAACGTAGTGTGTCCTTATCTGATGGCTGTTCCTCGAGTGAGCCTCTCTGCTGCTGTCTCTCCCACTCCCTCCCCTGCCTCTCTTCCCGCACCCGTCCAGATTTCTGCTTTCAACCCAGCAGCAGCGGGGAATGTGATGTTCCTTCATCTGATGGCTGTTCCTCAAGTGAGCCTCTCTGCTGCTTTCTCTCCCACTCCCTCCCCTGCATCTCTCCTCACCAACACAGATTGCTGCCTTCAACCCAGCAGCAGTGGGAAAAGTGATGTGCCGAAGCCTGATTAACATTGCCTGGTGCATGTATGGGTTGGACAAGGGGGGTAACAGGGCATAATGCATGCGTGTGACTTGTTTGTTGCCTTCAACCCAGCAGCAGTGGGAAAAGTGATGTGCCGAAGCCTGATTAACATTGTCTGGTGGGGGGTGGGGGTGGGGGAGGGTAGCGTGCATATGACTAGTGTCTGCTTTCAATGCTATGACTTTTGAGTCGACTCCTAAGTCACCTCGTTACAATGGCACACTTCTCAAAGTCCAAACTGAGACTGGACGAGCTTGTTGGTCGCCCCATAGCCACCGACAGCAACACACTGCTATGACTTTTGAGTCGACTCCTAAGTCACCTCGTTACAATGGCACACTTCTCAAAGTCCAAACTGAGACTGGACGAGCTTGTTGGTCGCCCCATAGCCACAGCAACATACTTCTATGGGTGAGTGGGTACTTTATTGTATTTGTAACAGTGAGTCTGTGATTATGTGATCATGTGAGTCTATGAGTCTGTAAGTGTGTGCAGCATGCTCCTCTCCCCTCCTTTTCAGTAGTATGTGTTGTGAATCACTAGACGAGCTCGTTGACGGGCCCATAGCCACAGTAGCACACTGCTACGGGTGAGTGGGCTATACCTTGCGTCTTTTTAGTGTGAGCCTGTGAGAGTGCTGCATGCTCCTCTCCCCTCCACTTCTGTACCGTGTGTGGTGATTCACTGGACGAGCTTGCCGTGACCTCAGGGTGACGTTACTAGGTGTAACAGACGATCGCATACTCCCGCTGGGAACTTTCGACTCTGTCAGCTAGCACTGAACAGTTTTTGAGACTAAAAAAACGCACGCTGGCACCCCTTGACTCCGTCAGCTACTGAAAGTCTGACTTTGAGGCGCCTCAGCAGCACTAGCAACCCTCGACACTGCCAGCTATTGAAGAATCCCCACTGAACTTCAATTCACTAGAGCTGACAGACGATCGCATACGCACGCTGGCACCTCCTCGACTCCGTCAGCTACTGAAAGTTTGAATTTGAGGCGCCTCAGGACGAGCAACCCTCGACACTGCCAGCTAGCACTGAACATTCTCCACTGAACTTGCCGTGACCTAGGGTGCTGACGTTGCTAACGGTAACGTTAATGTTGCGTTCGCGCAACGTCTGGGTAACGTTAGCGGCGAGAATATGTGATGCGACGACCTTACAATCTGTCAGTCAGCACTGGAAAGTTAACCATTGCCCTAACGCAACGGAACTTTGACGACGAGAATCACCGATGCGACAACGCTCAAATCTGTCAGCCAGTACTGAAAAGTTAACCCGTGCGCTAACGCAACGTACGGATCGTAACGTTAACGACTATCTGCAATGCAACAGCCCTTCGGTCTTTCCGCATGAGACGGTGTTCCTTTCATCAGTCGCGACAATAAAACTATCTCTCCTTTCCCGTCGGCTACTTGAGTGGACTTAATCTGGGCGTCTGCGAAAGTACTAGTGAATGGAAACCTGTCGGGGCATTGGCGAGAGTGATTCGGCAGAAGCAAATCCAATCAGCGCAATTAGCGCAATCAGCGCAGGCATCGCAATTAGGTTAGATGTGGCGTGGAGTGGAGCCTAGGGGTTCGCGAGAAAGAAGGAATCACAATGAGAATGTTTTCTGTGAGGGTGGGGTGAATTTTGGTTTGGTTCGAAACTCAATTCGAAGAATTCGAATGAACCTGGGGTACTTGGCAGCCCCGCACACACAGCTGAGAGCACACGTGGCATTGCAGTCCCACCAAGCAAAAAAACACGCATCCAACCAGTCACAATAATAATGGATTCTTGACCTTGAGTATGTATACTTACCTGGGCGGGGTCTATCGGTGATCACGAAGGCCGATGGCCTAGGGGTGGGCCCGCCATTGCACTTCGGCCGGCCCTACTCCTAGCACGCCGGAACTCCCGGTGATGCACGTCATTATTTGTGGCAGCGGGGGCTCGCGTTCGCGCGGCCCCTACCAAAGGAAACTCGAAATGGGATATAGGAAAACAACGATATAACAGGATGGAAGTCTTTCAGTAAATGCTTTTCTTGTGCGCGGGAATTGCACAATTACAGCCCACATTATGCCTGCATTTGAATACAAGACATAGTTAGCAGTCCACACTGATCACCGTAAAGGCACAATGTCATATTATGGTACACTATTGTACACTACCAGCAACATGATCCACAAAAATTTCTCAGCCACCACCCTCGCCTGGTGTAGCATCTTTCAGTAACACACCAAATATATCAGGCTGACCCTGGCACAAACCCGCCTGCATGTACACTCCAAACAGAGCTACAGTAGGGTCTTCCAATATTTCTCCCCAAGCTGCTGCATCAGCGCTGGGGGAAGCTTCCCCTGATCCTGCTGCATCGCCTGTGTTGGAGGAGATTGTGGAAAGGTCAAGGCTGCCCGAACAGGTCCACTCACCAGTCCCATCATTCACAGACTGCCACGGGCAGGGCAGAAATAACCTCACCACATCACTACTCTTCATGCTGCTGCTGCTGCTGCTGCTGCTGCTTGCACCAGAATTGTCTATTTCTGCAACATCCTCCATTCCTCCTGCTTCCACCACACCAGCCCCACTCACAACCCCACCTCCACCTGCCTTTAAACCTTCACGCCTTGGTACAGCGCTGGGCTTAGGGGATGGCTTGGCATTGCCCTTGGGTTTGAGCTTAAGGCGTGTTCTTAGATAATCCACTATTGCAGCTGGGTCCTTGACCAGAGATGGCCTGCTGTTGCCACCTCTGTTGCTGTCACTCCCTGTCCCTTTGCCCTTGTCTCCTCCCCTGCTTCCTCCTCCTCTCCTGCCTCCTTTTGTGGGCTCCACTTGTGGGAGAAATGCTGCTGCTTCTGAGGAGGAGGAGGAGGAGGAGGAGGAGGAGGAGGAGGAGGAGGAGGAGGAGGAGGAGGAGGAGGAGGAGGAGGAGGAGGAGGAGGAGGAGGAGCTTTCACCGCCTAGAGGTACGTTCTTGTAGAGAACGACACTGTAGAGAGCGGAGCTCTGAGTGCGTGCTGTGAGACTGTAGGCGATGGACTGGGGCTGAGAGGATGGTGGGCTGGCAGAGAGACAAGGGAGAAAACAAGGATGGAATGGAAGACGAAGGAAAGTAGAGAGTAGGGCTCTCAGTGTGAGTGTGCAATGAGATGAGAGTGTAGGCGATGGAGTGAGGCTGAGAGGATGGCGAGCTGGCAGGGGGGCATGGGAAAGGAGGAAGGAGGAAACAGGAATGGATAGCGAGGAAAGTGGAAAGAGGAAACAGCAATGAGTAATGAGGAAACCGAAAGAAAAGGGGGAGCACTGATTGTATGCCATGCGTGTCAACAGTGAGAGCAAATTTGCCTGTGGTGGCTGGCTGGCATCACGCTGGTGGGTTTCCAGTCGAATCAAAGCACACCTGAGCTTGAGCACGGACCGTACTGTCTTCTCTTCCTCACGCACCTGTCTGGCGTGTTAACAGTGAGAGCGAAGATGCCTGTGGTGGCTGGCACCACGCTGGTGGGTTTCTAGTCGACTCAGAGCACACTAGCACAGCTACAGCCTACCCACTGTACCTGTCTGGGGTGTCAACAGTGAGGGCGAAGGTGCCTGTGGTGGCTGGCACCACGCTGGTGGGAGCGATTCTCCACCGCAGCGACGAGTAGTGCGCTGGTGGTGAAAAGGCAGGGGCACGGGAGACAGAGGTGCAAGAAGCAATGGGGGGATACTTATTGAGGGATTGAAAGCACCACGCTGGTGGGGGCGATTTTCGAGCGCAGCGACGAGTAGTGCACTGGTGGGGGTGGTGGGAGGTGGGATAGAGGTTGACGAGAGAAAGGGGGCAAGGGGCAAGGCGAGAGAAAGGGTGCAAGGGGCAAGGCGAGAGACAGAGCATGGGGCAAAGGGGACGGCTGGTGAGAGGGTAGAGAAAGCACGATGCTGGTGGGGGCGATGCTCCAGCGCTGAAAGCACGATGCTGGTGGGGGCGATGCTCCAGCGCTGAAAGCACGATGCTGGTGGGGGCGATGCTCCAGCGCTGAAAGCACGATGCTGGTGGGGGCGATGCTCCAGCGCTGAAAGCACGATGCTGGTGGGGGCGATGCTCCAGCGCTGAAAGCACGATGCTGGTGGGGGCGATGCTCCAGCATGGTAGTAGGGGTGAGAGACGGGTGCAAGCAAGGGACAGTGGGGTAGGTGAGGGGGAGATGGGCGCTGCAAGAGAAAAAGGTGGGTTGGTTATTTAGTCGACTCATAAGGCAGGTGGGTGGGGGCAAAGGTGAGACGGGTGCAAGAAAAAGGGGAAGTGGGGGATTTGGTGAGGTTGAGGTGGGTGTAGCAAGAGGCAAAAGTAGGTTGGTGAGGCAGGTGCGAGGAGAGTGAGAGGAAAAGGGAAGGCAGAGTGAGTACGGGCGGACTCAAGAAATGAAGAGAGGGAGCAGATCCAGCACAAAAGAACCGACCAGAGCAGTCGTCTTGTATTGAAACAGTGGCAGAACTTGAAGAGCATAGGCCCCTAACAGACACCGCATCTGCTTGTAGTAACGAACGAGGACATACTTGTAACAGCAGCAGCGGGCCGAAGCAGTGTGGCAAGTTGCAGCGCCCAGAGCAGCACTGCAAGGAGACAGGGTTGACACCAAGGATGAAGGAACAGGGAATGGTGACAACGGGGAGGACAGGGGTGGGAGGCACAGCACAACGGACGGTGAGAAAAAGAGCTTGAGTGTCTTTCGTTTCTTAGCACAGAAAAAAACACGGCAGGGAGACAGGGTCGACATAAGGACGATGGAAGAGGGAATGGTGGAACAGAAAAATGATGAAACAGGGAAAGGTGGGCTGAGAGTGATGACACAGGGGATGGCGAGGTGAGCAAGAACTTAGGTCCAGCACTGCAGTGTCGTTCCCATCCCAGCTTGATCTTGCTTCGTCAATGTAACATTGGACCAAGCAGGGCCTTCATTGCCCTCACCCTCTCACCCCCCCTCACCCCCACCACTCCCCGCACCCCCCTCACCCCCCTCATCCCCCGCACCCCCCTCGCCCCCCTCATCCCCCTCACTCCCCGCACCCTCCTCACCAGTAACGAGTCCCCTCGGCGGTGAATGCGCTGTGCGAAGCATGGTGATGGGGGGAGCGGAGAGAATGCCCGCAACGAATTTATTTTCCGTCGCGCGGAAATCTCTAGCGTAGGGGGAAGCTGCGGGCATGGCGGAAGCCGCGGGCTTGGTGGGGAGAACGCACGGCGATGGAGGATGCGACGCCAACAACGAAGGTTGCGGGCGTGACGGGAAGAGCGAGCGGCGACGGCGGATGCGACGACAGGCAGTGGAAATGAGTCGAACAACTGAAGACTCCTGAAGCTAGCGCTTTGAGGAAGGCCTGATGAAGGCCTTTGCTGGCCGAAACGCGTTCGCACGCGACATCCGGGCCTATGTGTCTGGCGTTCTGACTAAAAGACCTTTGCTAACGACTTCCAACGCTTTTTCAGATTAGTAGATCCTTCGTAGACTCTTGCTGCAGTCCGAAACCAGCTAATTTCAACAGGAGATAAGTCTACTAACTGAAGACTCCTGAAATGGACGGGCCGTTTGGAAATTTGACGGTTGGAAATGCAGGGGATGAGAGGCTTGACGGCCGGAAGTAGTAACGCCGGGAAGCGGGAAGAAAGGAAAAAGCGCTTGCACGACGAATTCACCCTATTCTGAGCGTGGGTTGCGCCGTGCGAAGCATTTGCACAGTGCACGTTGAGTGCTGGATTCGATATTCTCGCGAAACGCGGAGTTTACATACGTTTTGGCGTTCCTCTGGTCATGGTCCGCTCGTCATCGTTACCACTTTCAGGGGAATGCGTAACTGTGTGATGTGAACTGCTGACACTATGATGGTATGGTAGTCTCTTCTCGAGGCCCACCAACCAGCCAACCCAGCAATGGTTGAAAACGGCTAAGGATGAAATGAAGAATCTCCGGGAAGGCGTGTTTAGACGCAGTTTCTGCAACAGTCCCATAACCTGATGCAACGCTCAGGACGATTGAGGGAGGTACGTGTACAAGCAACACGCGGTTGCGACCAAGACGGCACAGGAATGGAACGACTTCGACACGACGATCTGGCGTAACGTGTTCGTTCCTTGAATGCGGACCACGGAGTCGGATGGCCTCGGATTAAAAAGCACCGTTTCGTTTTAAACTTAGCTAGCTTAATATTGAGACTGACCAGAAAGAAATGTCACATCACAACAATATGCTTCTTACTTTTCAAAGCCTTCATTAAACACTCCATGAGCTATAATGTTTCCTAGAATCTCAACCCACGTATCAACAGGACCCGGTGTACAATAATGAAGACAATCCGTTATCCCCCTCTCCTTCACATACCCCTTATGGCCATCTGATCTAAGCGCCGTCATTGTATCAACATCCATGTACACTGCTTTCACCTCCTCCGCTATCTCCCTCGCAATATCATTTTGCGACGAAAACGTATCCCAGTGGAACGGCAACGTCGCCGGATCCTGCCGAATTTTGATTGGCCGGTCGTATGATGAGCAGTTGACATGGCCGGGCGGCGAATTCCTGTAGACAAGAAGGGCGCGAGGAAGCTTCCTGCGAAGCAGCCTCATGGCAGCCCGCACCGAGAGCTCAAAATCCCTCCCGCCGACATAATGTGCGCCTCGGTTAACTACCACCACATCAGCACTCACCAAACCGTCATACAAGTGCCACGGCATGTGATCAAATGGCACGCTGCCACCTGTCGCACTCCCGTTGCTGCTGCTGGTGGTGCTGCTGCCGTCACCGGGGCTGGCTAAATCAGGGTCCTGGATATAAAGGTGGTCGTTGCGAATCACATGAATTTTTACCCCCGGACACACATTCTCGTGAAACACATAGACCTTGCAGAACGGATGTGGTGTCACCACCACGGGAGCGGAACCCCAATCCCCCTCCTCCCCCTCTTCCTCCTCTCCTTCCTCTTCTCCTTCCGCCACCTCTTCATCCCCGATATTAGCAGCTCCTGTAATAGCACTAGTATTACCATCCCTACTTCTTAAATTCCTCCAGCGAGCAGCACGGCGCGGCTTCCTGGAACCATCCTCACTCACCCCTCCTCCTCCTGATTCTGCCCCTCCTCTCCCAAGGAGCCAGTCCACGCACTGCTTAGGTTCAAATTCGTCCACAGCCCAGGACGCAGGCTTGGCGACGTGCCGAAGCAGACCGTTCAAGAAGCTCCCAGCCATTTGGAAGGTCAGGGAATCCCCGAGAAACACAATGTTAAAAGTCCCTCTCTCCTCCCTTGCCCGCTTGCAAAACGCAGCTCCGTCAAAAGGTTTTAAGCCGCCCAATGGGCATTTGCCAGGTGGAGTTCTCCATTCGTACTTAAGCGATTCTCTTACTGTCCACTCCTCCTCGCTCCCGCCCCTCCTTACAATCTCATCCGCTTTTATACCGGACACCCCCACTCCCTCATCCGCTTGCCTGTGATCGCATAAGTTCATGAACCCGGGATATTCCCAGGGTAAAACCCTCGGAGTTGGGTTATACACCCAGTTTCCCTCGCGGCTGATGCACTCTAGCCACCGCTCAAACACCCGCACATCGCGCCGGCGCCGCAGCCAGCTTCCAGGAACCTTCCAGGCCTCAGCCTCCCGCCTCCGCAATCGCTTCTCCAGCCTCTCCCTTTTCTTCCTCTCTGCTTCACTCACTCGCTCTTCTGCTGCTCCTCTGCTTCCAAGCCGAAGACAATCCAAGCCCAGGTGAAGGCATGCCTCAGATACAGCCTCCCCCAGGTCCTCTCTGCTCCAGGTAATCCGGATCCCTCCCACATCCTCCTCTTTCTCTCCTCTCTCCTCCGCTTCTTCACGCTTCCCTTCTACCTGCTTAGACTTGGTCTCTCCTTCCCTCTCTTCCTCGGCTTCCTCTCCCCAATCAGCATCATCACTATTCTCATCACCATTTTCCCTCCTCTCATCTGCATCTCCAACAGCGTCCTTCCCCAAACTCCCCCCCTCCGCACCTACTGCCGATCCTCCTCCTTGGGAATCTCCTAGATCCATTTCCCCATCCTCCCGAGCCTCAGGCTCGGTGACGAGCCACAGCTTCGGCAGAGGTTTGAAATTCAGCCGCTCGGACGGCACAGAGACGACGTGCAGGTGACACGTGGCACTCAGGGATTGGATGATGGAAGAAGACAAAAGGAACGGGTCGGGCAAGGGGTTGGAGAGAAGCGGCTGGGCAGGCAAGGAATCATCCTTTGAGTGAGCGGGGGAGGACGAGGAGGAGGAGGAGGGGAGAGAGTGAGAGAGTGAGAGACCAGTTGGGGGTTGGAGGAGGAGGAGGGAGGAGTTGGGGCGAGAGTATATGAGGAGGGGGAGGAGGGAGGGTAGGGGGAGGGAGACGAGGAGGGAAGTGCGGGGGAGGAGTGTGCGTGCTGATGGGGGAAAAGAAGGGGGGGAAAACGGAAGGGGCCAAAAGGGAAAGATAGGAGAGGTGAGTGGTGGCATGAGGGAGTGAGGGCATGGCAGGAGGTATATCCATTTCCCCCTAACACCCCATACAGCACACCAGATGACCCTTCATCACTCCTCATCACCCCTCATCACCCCTCATCACCCCGCATCACCCCTCAGTACCTTGCTTCCATCTGAGCCTCTTCACCACAGTGACGTTGCTCTCCCCAAACTGCTGCCTCAGCAGACCCACGAGCCAATCAAACTCCGCCATCTGGACGCCACGAGGCATCGCCACCACCACCACCTTCCCCTCCTCCCTCACTCCCTTCACACTCCCCTCTTGCCCTTCCTCTCCCTCTCCTTCCACCCTATCCCTCCCCCCACTCTCCTCTCCAATACCACTACTGTCATCCTCCCTTTCACTACTCTCCGGGTGGCTGCTTTTGTCCTGGTCTGCGCCGCCCGCCGCCGGCCGCAGCGACCAATCAGGTTGAAGCAGGGGCAGGTGGTTAGAGGAAGGGTGGAGGAGGAAGGAGGATCGAAGGTGGGTCCACACTGAGGGGCTCAGACGGCCGCAGTGCTGCTGGGTGGGCTGGGGGAAGGGAGGGGGAGGGGGGAGGAATAGAATATGGTTAATGACACGAGAAAGGCATGGATGTGGGGAGGAAGGAGGAGCGGATATGGGTCTACATTGAGGGGCTCAGATGACCGCAGTGCTGCTGGGTGGGCTGGTGGAGGGGGAGGCGAGAGAGGCAGGGAGGTGAACAGGGGGCAAGATATGCGATGAGGCTGAGAGGAGGAAGTGGGAGGGGAGATGGAATGACACTGAGGGGCTAAGGCGCACACAGTGCTGCTGAATGGGCTGGGGAGGTGAGAGAGGTAGGGAGGAGGAGAAGGGACAAAAGAACTGCGGAGGGAAGAGCGGAGATCGGACCACACTGAGCGCCTCAGGTGCCTGCAGTGGTGCAGGGTGGGCTGGGGAAAGGAGGACGAGGGGAGGGGGAGTGGGGATGGGGGCCATGGGGAGGAGGACAACAAGGGACATGCGATTGCGTTGGAGGAAGGAGGAGCGGAGGTGGGAGGGAGGGGCTAAGGTGCCCTTAGGGCTGCTGGGTAGGCTGGGGGAAGGGGGGTTAGAGTAGGGCTGTGAACGGTAGGGTGGGGGGGACGTAGATGGAGGGAAGGGGAATGGGGACCATAAGGGGGGGGGGCAGAATTGAGAACTTTATGGATTACCCTGTCTGAAAAATCACCTGAGTCACGTAAAGAATTACCTCAGTCACCACTGGAATCACCTGAGTCACCTGAGGATTCACCTGAATGAGGCGCCTGACAAAGAAGAGCTCGTCAGCAGCAGGAGGCACGACGATGGTTGCATTGAGAGATGCAGAGGCGAGCAGGCGAGGGAGCTGCGGGGAAGATCACAAAAACACGAAGAGATAAGGCCGGGAGGAAACACGATGGTTGCATTGAGAGATGAAGGCGAGCAGGCGGGGTGTTTGCGGATCGCACATGCACACACAGACACGCAGAGAAAGGGTGTGTGACGGCGGGAGAGCAGTACATGGGATGGTAGTACATAGAGAGATCAGGATGATGTGAATATGATGGTAGTGTATGAATGTAGAGGGGGGGGGGGAGTGTGATTAAAAGATCACAGTGGTGCGAATATGTTGTATAATACAAGGGGTGTGTATGGAAGGGTGCAAGCGAGCGAGTATGTCTGATGTATGCAGAGCCAAACCAATCAGTATGTACATACCAGAAGTGCACTCCACGTACCCATAAACCGCCCAGCAGCAGAGGTGTCCCTGGATACTCCCAGGATGAGTCCCTACACTCTCTCTTTGAGGCGCCTCAAGCGCAGTTACACACGTGCCTGCCCCAGAAGCAGAGCCACGTTATGCGGCACTTACACGCCTAACAGACGGACAGCACTGCACTGCACTGCACTGCACTGCACGTACCCCTCTCCGTCCTAGCAGCATAGGGAACCCCGAATTCGCTCCCAGAACCTGTTGTCGAGGCGCGGCAAAGCCACACTGCGCTTACCCTAGCCTGCTTCAACAGCAATGGAGGCATTTCCCCCTACTCTCTCACTCTCATACCCGATTTCTGAGACGCCACTAGAACTGACACCACTTACCCGTGCCTGTCCCAGCAGCAGAGGGATCACTAACCTGTGCTGCTGGGACAGGCACGGGTAAGTGGTGTCACTAACCCAAACCTGTTTCTCGTAGCATCTTTCTGAGGTTCTTAGAAAACGGACTGCGCTGCACTCACCCGTGCCTGTCCCAGCAGCAGCAGCGGAGGCATTTCCCATTTTCTCTCAGTACAACTCACCCGTGCCTGCCCCAGCAGCATCAGCGGAGGCATTTCCCATTTTCTCAGTACAACTCACCCGTGCCTGCCCCAGCAGCAGCAGCGGAGGCATTTCCCATTTTCTCTCAGTACAACTCACCCGTGCCTGCCCCAGCAGCAGCAGCGGAGGCATTTCCCATTTTCTCTCAGTACAACTCACCCGTGCCTGGCCCAGCAGCAGCAGCGGAGGCATTTCCCATTTTCTCTCAGTTCAACTCACCCGTGCCTGCCCCAGCAGCAGCAGCGGAGGCATTTCCCATTTTCTCTCAGTACAACTCACCCGTGCCTGCCCCAGCAGCAGCAGCGGAGGCATTTCCCATTTTCTCTCAGTACAACTCACCCGTGCCTGCCCCAGCAGCAGCAGCGGAGGCATTTCCCATTTTCTCTCAGTACAACTCACCCGTGCCTGCCCCAGCAGCAGCAGCGGAGGCATTTCCCATTTTCTCTCAGTACAACTCACCCGTGCCTGCCCCAGCAGCAGCAGCGGAGGCATTTCCCATTTTCTCTCAGTACAACTCACCCGTGCCTGCCCCAGCAGCAGCAGCGGAGGCATTTCCCATTTTCTCTCAGTACAACTCACCCGTGCCTGCCCCAGCAGCAGCAGCGGAGGCATTTCCCATTTTCTCTCAGTACAACTCACCCGTGCCTGCCCCAGCAGCAGCAGCGGAGGCATTTCCCATTTTCTCTCAGTACAACTCACCCGTGCCTGCCCCAGCAGCAGCAGCGGAGGCATTTCCCATTTTCTCTCAGTACAACTCACCCGTGCCTGCCCCAGCAGCATCAGCGGAGGCATTTCCCATTTTCTCTCAGTACAACTCACCCGTGCCTGCCCCAGCAGCAGCAGCGGAGGCATTTCCCATTTTCTCTCAGTACAACTCACCCGTGCCTGCCCCAGCAGCAGCAGCGGAGGCATTTCCCATTTTCTCAGTACAACTCACCCGTGCCTGCCCCAGCAGCAGCAGCGGAGGCATTTCCCATTTTCTCTCAGTACAACTCACCCGTGCCTGCCCCAGCAGCAGCAGCGGAGGCATTTCCCATTTTCTCTCAGTACAACTCACCCGTGCCTGCCCCAGCAGCAGCAGCGGAGGCATTTCCCATTTTCTCTCAGTTCAACTCACCCGTGCCTGCCCCAGCAGCAGCAGCGAAGGCATTTCCCATTTTCTCTCAGTACAACTCACCCGTGCCTGCCCCAGCAGCAGCAGCGGAGGCATTTCCCATTTTCTCTCAGTACAACTCACCCGTGCCTGCCCCAGCAGCAGCAGCGGAGGCATTTCCCATTTTCTCTCAGTACAACTCACCCGTGCCTGCCCCAGCAGCAGCAGCGGAGGCATTTCCCATTTTCTCTCAGTACAACTCACCCGTGCCTGCCCCAGCAGCAGCAGCGGAGGCATTTCCCATTTTCTCTCAGTACAACTCACCCGTGCCTGCCCCAGCAGCAGCAGCGGAGGCATTTCCCATTTTCTCTCAGTACAACTCACCCGTGCCTGCCCCAGCAGCAGCAGCGGAGGCATTTCCCATTTTCTCTCAGTACAACTCACCCGTGCCTGCCCCAGCAGCAGCAGCGGAGGCATTTCCCATTTTCTCTCAGTACAACTCACCCGTGCCTGCCCCAGCAGCAGCAGCGGAGGCATTTCCCATTTTCTCTCAGTACAACTCACCCGTGCCTGCCCCAGCAGCATCAGCGGAGGCATTTCCCATTTTCTCTCAGTACAACTCACCCGTGCCTGTCCCAGCAGCAGCAGCGGAGGCATTTCCCATTTTCTCTCAGTACAACTCACCCGTGCCTGCCCCAGCAGCAGCAGCGGAGGCATTTCCCATTTTCTCTCAGTACAACTCACCCGTGCCTGCCCCAGCAGCAGCAGCGGAGGCATTTCCCATTTTCTCTCAGTACAACTCACCCGTGCCTGCCCCAGCAGCAGCAGCGGAGGCATTTCCCATTTTCTCTCAGTACAACTCACCCGTGCCTGCCCCAGCAGCAGCGGCAACTCCGGATTCTCTCTCAGAAACGGCGCCACTTGCAGCAGCAGCGGTGCCAGTTGTAACACCGTTGCCCCGCTCCTGTCTCTGCTGCCTGCCACGTCAGCAGCTGCCACGTGGCCTCTGGGGACGAGGAGATTGACGAGGGTATCGTGGATGGTTACCCGGGTGCCGAAAGGGTAGAAGAACTACCGTGCTTGGAGGGAGGGAGGGAGAGGGGGGGAGCGAGGGAGGGAGGGAGGGAGAGAGGGAGGGAGAGAGGGAGGGAGGGAGGGAGGGAGGGAGGGAGGGAGGGAGGGAGGGAGGGAGGGAGGGAGGGAGGGAGGGAGGGAGGGAGGGAGGGAGGGAGGGAGGGAGTGAGGAAGGGGGGAAGGCACAGTGGGAAGAAGGGGAATAGGGAAGTCGGGGGGAGGTGGAAAGGGGGGAAGGAAGGGAGAGCAAGAGAAAGAGGGTGAAGAGTGGATATTGACAAGATCAAGCATCACCTCTTAACGAGGGCAGAGGCGCTGAACGCCTGGCCCGCTCACCAGCTCACCAGCTTTCTAGAATTCCAAAAAACATACTGCCGATTTCTAGAATTCCAAAAACACCTTGACCCTCGCCTCGCCGGTCACCAGTTCAGTTGGTAACCCACAGTGCAAGCCCACCATGTGCCTCACCTGAGTTGAATGAGCCCATGGCAGCCATTGGCATGGGGCACATGGGTCGCATTGAACACCCCCTTGCTTCTTTCCCCCCCTCCCCCCGTGCTCACCTATCATTACGTGGTAACCAGAGGCAGAGACCAGAGACGGGAAGAAAGTGAGTCCCTTCCTTAGCCTGGTAGTACACACGGCACGGCCCATCACGCGCGTCTCACCTGGGTGAGCCCGTGGCAGCCATTGGCATGGAACACGTGGGTTGAGTTGAACACCCGCCCCTCACCACTCACAAACACGCCTGCCAGCTCATGCACCCTCCCCGCCCACTCCGCCCACTGCACTCCCCCGCCTCCCCCGCTGCTTCCACCGATTCCCCCCGCTCCCCCCCCCACCCCCACCAGATCCACATATTGTGGGTTCTCGCACACCCACACGCCCCCTCCCCTGCCTTTCCCCTCACTCCCCCTGTCACCGCTGCTGCTGCCCTCCTCCAGCCACCCCTCCCCCGCTTCCCCTGTCTCCCCATCCCCACCATCTCCCTCCCCCCGATCTTCCCCCAGCCCTGGCGGCTGCAGACCTGGAGGGCCGAGGCAGGGGGCCATGCGGGGACACGTGGGGGGGGACTGACAGCTGGCGACGTGCCATTGCGCGTGCGGTGGGGGCGAGTCTAGCGACATAGATGTTACGCCCGAGTGAGATGTAACGCCCAATGTAACGCCTGCGCCGCCGTTGGTGGTATCTGCTCCCGCTCCTCCTGCTGCTGCTGCGGAATCTGCTGCCTGGAAGTGATTGTACCGACCTGTGCCTATAACGGATGGAGCCATAACGGGGATGGAAGCAGTGACGTGGCGGGAATCGTGGGGGTTCAGGTCGATGATGTCGAGACCGTACGATTCCAGAGCCTGCAGCAGGTGGTGCTGGGATTGCTGAGGGTGCTGGGGGTTTTGCTGCTGGCCTTGGGATCGGTTCATCTGGCCTTCGTTTTGAGAGCTGTCGCTTTGGCTGCTGCTGCTGCTGGTGTTGCTGCTGTTACCGCCACTGCCACTGCTTGCACTGCTGCTGATAATCACACCAAATACGCCGTCGCTTGGTTTTCCAGCTGCTGCAGCCACCGCTCCTGCTGCTGCTGTTGTGGTCTTGGCCGTAGTTGCTACTGCTGCTATTGTTGCTGCTGCTGTGGGTTTGGCCGCTGTCACCGCCGCCGCCGCCGCTGCTACTGTTGCTGCCGCTGTAGTCTTGGCCGCTGCTACTAATGCTGCTGTGGCGGAGAGAGCAGGCGATGACGACGACACAGTATCCGAAGCCTTCAGACCTTTCCTCGCCAAACTTCGCCTCATTTCGCCGCCTCCTCCCGTCGCTTCTACAGTAGCGAATCGTCCCAATAAGAGCAGCCCCGATACAAGCAGAAACGCTACAAGAACGGCTGGTCGAAAACAGCACATCGTAACAACCTTTTCACTATCGAGACCCCTCCGAATGAACACGGGAGTTCGTCCAGAAGCACTGCCGACCCGTCTCCGTTTCAAGCCGCCGTCGGGTCCGCTCGTTCGCTTCCCCGCCATTCTCCGAGCCACTCGGGCTGGAATATTTTCCACCTAGAAAAACTACCGACTGATCAAGTCAGTTCGGGCAGAAGCACTGCCGAACCGACTCCGTTTCGAGCCGCTGTCGGTACCACTTCGCTTTCTCACCATTTTCTGGTGTTTCCCAATCGCGTATAGGTCAATCGGCTGAAATGCCACCGCCTAATGCATTCGCAGTTCTACGAGCATGCTTTCGACGCCGCATTAGCCTGCCATATCGGTGTCGTATCATGCGAAGTCTCTACGGACCTTTTATTCGGATGCACTTGATGGTGCTGTTCGCCAGCAAATCGAAGTTTTGAATGAAAAAGATGGCATCGGCATCGCGACCGCATCCGGAAACGGAGGCGGAACCCACCTCCGAGGTTTGGGCGTAATGCCACTCGAGAAGCTTCTGTTCCCGAAAAGCGAAATTACGTAACCGCATCGGGAACCTCCATCCCCACCTTCCCCCCAAGGGCTATGAACGGCAATGCAATCGCTGTGCCATCGCTGTCCTTTGAAAAAGGGGGGATGGCGATGGCATAGCTTGGGAGGGAATTTTGCCTGGGGACGAAGTTGCGCCCCCGCTTCCATATGCCGTCGAGCAGTTCGATTTGGTTTCGAAATGGGGGCGTTCGCCAGGCCCCCACATTGGTTTCTGGTTTGGACGTTAGGAGAGGCTCAGCAGCATTTTTACGGGCTGACCAGGCTGACGGAGCTTAACGAACCCTAACTGACGGGATCAGGAAGGCGAGACCCACCTTCCTGATCCCATCGTTATCCCGTGGTTTTTGGCTTCAAAGGCGCTGGCGAACAGCCCCGATGGCGGTGTTCGCCAGCCCATCTCAAAAAGAAAGGCCTCGGAATGGCCGTGGAATCCGGAACCAGGGGAGGAACCTCCGGAATAGGTGTGGGAGGGATGGCCAAATCTCGAAATTTCGCGCCAGAAAGGGGAAGGGTGGCAACGGGATCAGGAACCACCCTCCCGACCTTCCAATCCCCCGTCCCCACCCTCCAATCCCATGGCCATTCCAAGGCAATTCTGCTTGGGGGGGTGAATGGCGATGGAATGGCAACGGGACCAACGTTTGCCTGTAGAGGAAGCTCCCAACCCACTTTCCTACCTTCAAGATTCCATTCGAAATGAATGAAAAAGAGGGCGTTCGACAGGCCAACATGATTCCGTTTGGTTCGGACGGAATCATAGGCTCGGCAAGAATTTCGCGGGCTGACCAGCCTGACGGACCCTAACGAACATTGACGGACGGGATCAGGAAGCCGAGACCGACCTTCCTGATCCCGTCATATTTCCATTTACAAGTTCTGGCAAACAACGCCGATGTGTTCACGAGGTGTGTTGGTGATGCTTCTGGAGGAAACGCCATAAATCAGAGTCCCTTCCGCTGCAGCATCTCTCATCTCAGTGCATTTGGAACGCTACTGTTTGATGGAACCTTCCTGATTCTGTAAAAGCAGTATTTACGAAACGTGTGATGAACTGCGGTGTCGGAAATGTTTCATCTCAGCTATAAAATAGTCTCAACCTAGAATGAACAAAAAACAAAATTTTAGCTTTGTGTCATCTTATTCAAAAGTTGGTGCTCCTCAATTGTTCCTATACTGATCTTGTTGAGGCTAAGCCCTGCACGCGCCTGGTTTCGCGTGTAGCAGCTCTATGCGGAGTAGCGAGACTTCGCATACCGCATACCGGTTTTACCTGTGTTGCGGTAATCGCCGAGTACACTCCAATCTGTGCGCTTCGGTATGCGCATTTCGACATTGGACCAGGGAAGTGACGACATTGCACAAACGCGTATGTGCAACTGTCAGTGTTGCGAGCACCTGCGCAACTACTCCTGGGCAGGTAGAAATACACCTGACGGTATTTTCACCTGATGGTATTTCACCTGGCGGTGCCAACCTGGAAACGCATTCTAGAGTAGGTGCTTGCACGTTCTTCATGAACAACGTTCTCGTAGAACGTTCTTGCACACGTCACTATGTTTCTCTACAAGGTTCATGTTGTTTCTGTTGTAATCTATCAATTTAATCAATTAATGAAGTTCTTTCTTTCCGTTACTGCATACCAAGTTGGCTTTAGTATTCGGTTTCCACAAGTCAGTATTCGGTTTACAAGCATCCGCTTTGCAACTCTGCGCCTAGGCTCTCCCATAATCGCCTATTCTCCGCATGGTGCGTTGAGCGTGGACGCATACGCGAACTTCAGATAGCCTCGAGTACAATTGACGAAGTTTTCAACCTTGGGCCGGCAGCCACATTGATTCCGTATGGCTGGCGAGGATGCCGCTACGGAAATCATGGACCTGGAAGCGCAGGTCGCTGCTTTGCGGGAGCGCCACAGCGGTGGCGAAATCAGCGACGCGGATCTGGAGCTGATGATCGAAGGAGCTCGTGCGAAATGGGCTCGCGATCACCCACCTCCTCGTGCTGATGCGGAAATTGAGTCCGCTTCTCCCCGTGCTGAAGGCAACAACGTCAACATCGATGGCAATGAAGGCACACGAGTTACGCGCGGTGAACTGCGTGGAGCCGTCAGAGTGAACACCGCGAGCGTCGGTGGAACGCAAGCGCAAGTTCTTCGATCTGCAGCTGCAGCGAGTGCGCGTAGTGACGCGCATGGTTATCGCAACTCTGTGCGACGGAGTGGTGGCGGACCCTCGTTGGCAGCAAATGCGTCAACCGTACGCGATGGTGGCATCGCTCCGGAATACGGATACTTCAAGTTTTCACCCGACAAGATTGTCGTGCCGAAACTACTTGAAGGGCGCCACGACTTGACAACGTGGGTCGAGTCCATTGAGCCGCAGTTGGAAATCGCACAACTGAAGAAGTTCGTTGACGGAACGGTGGAGGTGCCGCCTGAGGAGGATGCGGAACGGCGCGCACAGTTTCATTCTGCACAGCTGCTGACGTTTATGGTCATCTCAAGGTGTTGCTCGCCGGTCGTCCAAGTTGCATTAAAGCCTTGCCGTCTTCGGGTGGACGCGGGTTTTCAAGCTTGGCAATTCATAATGAAGACCTACAAGGCAACTGATGACCTTTACATCGGCCAGCTGGAGCAACGGTTGACAAATCTGGAGATGGGGGAGCACGAAAGCGCAACCGCATACTGCAATCGCGCACAGCAGATACTTGCAGATCTGCGCATGGCCGGCGTCGACTACGCAATGTCTTCGTACGTTACACATGTCATCAAAGGTCTACCTGCAAGCTATAATCTCCTTCGTCGAATGGTGAAACTCCCAGGTGTACGCGAAGAGCTCGATGAGGATACGCTTTCGAGCTACATCATTGAGGAGGAGTTCACACTCGAATCCGAGCGGCGCAAGGAGCAGCTTCTCCCTCAAGTCAACTATGTCGCGTCGAAGCAGCCGCAGTCGCAACAGAAGTGGGGGAAATCGCGCGGGGGAGGCGACAATGAGAAAAACGTTTACCGCGCGAAAATGACCAAGGGCGAGGAGCGTTCCGGTGGCGGAAAGCGCAACTCCCAACGATACTGTTTCGTTTGTGGAGATCCCGACCACTTCGCGAACCAGTGCCCCGACCGCGTCATCAAGGAGGATGGCGATGGTCAGGAAGCTCCGCGCGGACGATCGCAAAACCGTCAACCTCGTCACGAAACCGCATACCGCGAGGACAACCAGCACTCTGATTCCGAGGACGAGCAGCCGTCGGATGCCGGAACCTCCCGCGGAAAGGGTGTGAAGGACGCCCCAAGTGACAATGTGGACCAAGAGGGGCAAGCGTCGTGTTCGATGGCCGTCGTGGTGACGGACGCATCGGCGGAACCGACCATTTCCTTGGCCTCGGAAGCTGGCGAGGACTTCCAAGCGGTAGCTGCAGCGGTGCAAGCAAATCCGACTGTGGTACTCCTCGATAGTGGCTGTTCACATCATCTTGTGGGGACGCGTGAGGCATTCGTGGAGATGAATGCGGAAGGCAACGTTCACCATGTGCGTGGATTTGGTGGCGCTATTCAGCTTGTCCAAGGTCGCGGTACAATTGCTCTTGAAGGGGCAGCGGGCACAATGGTTCTCATCTCGGATGTGCTGTATGTGCCTGGCGTACAGGCGAATCTGCTGTCAGCTGGATAGCTAAAGGAAAGTGGTGTGCAGTTTCAGGACACCGGCGACAAAACGCTTCTCGTATCGGCTGAGGGAGCTGTTCTCGGTCGTGCGCGCTACACCGGCCGCGTCCTCTGCACTGACCTCCGTCCGTGTTCGTCGCTGCCGAGCTCTACCCTCCCACCGGTGTACCCGCGTGTGGTACCTGCTGTCGTCGCTTCTCTGCTCCCGGCTGCGGAAAGCCTCTCTCGTTCCACCGCCGACACCCTTTCCAAGTCGCCCGACAACGATGAGGGGAGACCTGACACGCTACCTTCGGCG